TTGAGTGTGAGTAGCTGAACGACAAATAGAAAACGAGTTTTCATTGTTCTCTCTTAGGTCTCACTAATTCTAGTTTTAGCATTGTCATAGACTTTAACTCAACGAAGTTTAATTTTTAAATCAATAAAAGTTTTCTTCAAAATTTGTTTTAAAGCTATTTGTATCTACAGGTGTGCTTTCGTCTTTGTGTGTGTGACCATTACTCTTCTTCATCAACGGTGCTGTTTCAAATGTCCCAATTACGAAAAAGTATGATTATTTCAGCGAATAGAAAGGATTGAAAAGTTGCCTTTTTTCGCCACTCAGAGATGTCCCAGAGAAGTTTTAAAGTGGGCCCGAGGGGCTGGGGCAAATAAAGGGCTTGATGAGCACATGTAAAGCACATGACTTTGTTAACGCTTCATCTTGAGCAGTTCCTTGCGAAATGCATTGAATTCCTGGTTTAATCAAGTCAAAAACGAGAGCACAACTTCTTTATCATGGCGATTCTCGCAGTGCACGAAAGGCGCTTAAATCAAGCTCAGTGCAACGCTTTAATTAAACACAGGAGAGCTATTTGATTGCTGCAAATAGACACAGCAAAGCATTTTGGTAAAGCAGAGTACAGGTATTTGATTAAGCTCATTACAGCGCTTCATTAGGCATTGTGCCACGCATTGATTAGTTACAAGATATTACTTGATTTGCCACAGTATGGCGCTTTGTTTTGATCTCAGTACAGGGCCCGATTTGGATACTGAACACTATGAAAAGTAGGGAAGACTGTTTTGATAAGGCAGATACTTGAGTTCCCTGTAGTTTGGCTCAATAAAATGCTGTGTTTAGGGAAATTGATTTTCATTTTGATTTGAAATGAAATGTCGCTCTGCATTTGAACATCCTTCACCAAGCAAAAGAAATCTGACGTGCAGAAATTTTTTTCAGAGTACAGTAAATCGGTTTAAACACAATTTAGGATACTCAAGTCATTAGGATAAATCTCTTTTCGGCTTTACTTTATATGCAGCTTCATCACCCTCACCTAATCTCTATCTCATTTAGTAGAAAGAGGATCACTTATGCGTCTTTTTCCCTTTTTTGTGGAAAATTAAAACTAGGAATTCTAGCCGAGATAGCACGCATGATAATTTTCTGCATTTTGATCCTCGTTTTATTGCCTCTCATTTGCTGCAATTAACCAACAGTTCTATCACACAATTATAACCAACAACAGTTTAAATTTTCTTGATTAGAAATTTCAATTTAAGTGAAAAAGTTTGGGTCCCTCTTTCAACAGAGCATCCGAAACTCCTCTAATCAGGGTGCGCAGATTGTTACAAAATCATTCAGCTCTACTTAGCGAAACAGTCACAGGAAAATTTCCCGTCTTGCGTACTTCAAAGACGGTATAAAAATGTGCAGTAGCGCAGTTTTGAATGCAGCTACAGTTCTCAACACACTTTTAGGAAAAGGATCAATCTATATTCAAGCTTGAGGGGGCGAAGGGGTTACAGGTGTGCAGGGAGTCGGAGGGGATATCAGTCGTCGTTAAGAGGGCATAAAATGGAGGTAGAAGAAACTGACCAAAAAAGAAGGGGGATCTTTAGAATTCTACACAGTCTCAGGGGGTCAGGTAGATTCCATTTGGACACAGCAAAAATCCTCCAGCCCCCCTCCCCCCCATCCCGGCGGTAGTAAATAGAGAATGGTCTCTAAGTGTATATCTTGATTTCTTTTTTATCCTGGGGCTCGTTCCTCGAAAGATTCGGTAACTTTACGAGCCTGAAAAGCTGAAAGCTGTTTGCCGTGTGTCACTCAAGATCGGAATTCAAACTATGAAAATATCAGCAACAAAAAACATCAAGCACTGGTTTTCGAGCTGAGATCCACGCTATCATTCCATAGAATAAGGTTTGAAAATATGATTAACCCACCATGCTGGTATAGTTATAACTAGGAACTCTGAAAACCACACCCTTGAGTCTGAGTCTTATAGATGCCCTGATATTGAAGCCAAACAGTCTACGGATCCTTTTCTTGACATTCTTACTCTTGCTTCTCACATCACAGGCTTTGCCTCCCCTAAAATCAACTTCCAGTCCCATTGTACACCTTCCATTCTTGTCGAAATGCTTGCCTTTCACTTCTTTTGTTACCCAGCGAGACATTTCCTTTCCGAAAGCACCTTGGAACAGAAACAAATAATGCACTAGTTAGATTTCACCTTTTCTGAATAAACCTCGCAAAAGCGAATAATGTACCTTTACTTCGTTTACCAAACTTGATGTGCCGGTAAACAATAAACCACGTTCGTTCAGCATAACGACACTGTTCAGTTCACGCATTGCAGTGATTAGAAGCATCACTTCAGAACAAATCTTAATAAATTGCTTTCATGCAATAGAGACGAATATGCTCTTTACCATTCCGCTATTAAGAATCAGTTGAATCGGCAGATGGTAAAAATATCGAGACTTCTCAACTGAAGAATTATTTGAAAAAAACAGAAAGGCTTAAGAATGGTTTTCCCTCATTTACTGGCTGTAAATCCACCGCTTTCGACGTACATTAGATGACTTTTTTCTCTGCAGACTCGCTTATAAAGGTCAGTACCTGGTAAAGATGTGTTCAATTCCACTCCCGTTTTTTGAATGGCTCCAGCAGAGCAGTTCACCACCTTTTCATAATTGTACACCGTCTGAAAAAAAAAAACAAACAAACACAGCCTGTTTAAAATGTATTGATCATGTCGTATGCAATAATGAACATTAACACCCATCAGATCAACATACTGATGTAAACTATTCCCCTGTACTCATTCATATAGCAGAAACGACAAGAACACTCAGTACCCATCGATACAATTTGTAGAAATTTCCCCGTTTGAAAAATATAAAGTAAGCATCTTATACATCCCTGTAACAGCATTTGATACGAAAGCATCTCTATAAGTATGGTATTTGCTATCATTTTAATGGTATTCCATTATTAGCACACTCTATTATATTTGCAAAGCCCATAAAAGAAAAAAGTTCTAACACTAGAAAAAAAAAGGAAATTGTACTTTGAATTCAAATTCTTCTCACTAAGTAACTAATGAACTATGATTATTGTTTGCGAGCTTCTGCATTGTATTGTAATCTAAATGTACTGATAGTATTGTAAGTATATTGTTAGTATCATTAATACCTTTGTAATGTTAGTATTGTCACAGAGGTTAATATTGTACATCTACGTTATGTTAGTATTGTAAGTAACGTTTAGCATTTTAAGTGATATAGGTATTGTAAACGAGGTATATATGGTATTAAATATAAAACAAAGAGAAGAATAAACTACTAAGTATTCTCTAAGTATACATAATTCTTACCTCAAAATCCGATCTTGTTCTTCCAGGCTTCAGAAACGACTTCCTGACAACTTCTTTTCGAAAGCCACGGTTTTCGAGGTTTGCCTTTTCCAACATGTCACACATTTCAGACGATGAGGGTCGAAAGCTGGAGGGTTCGTTAACTTTCATTTGCAGGTCTTCAGTCGTGGCACCTTTAAAGACAACAAAAACAAGAGTTTCATTCGATCTCATTTAAGCCCTGACACAGACGATAAGTTGAAAATTCGACATTTCGTAAATGCGGCTAAGTTATATTTTTTGAACGCAAGCAGTTAGAAGCACTTTCCTTACCTAACCGCTTGGGAACCATAAAAGGAATTAGACAGCGAAAAGATCATTTTTCTGAAGGAACAATTGAAACAGCAGATCTCTTGCGCAGAAAACTGTCTGATTGTATTACAATATTTTTTTAGGCATGGAGTTAAGCGATTTAAAAAAGCGCATTTTGAGTTAAGATTAGCCAAGGTTCTGTCTCATCTGGAGATTTTTCAGCTATCTGACTTGTATAATTAAGCGAACAACAGTTTTGAGGGTCGGCTCTGTTGAGCATTCCTAATTAGGCACGGTACTACAGTGCTACATTAAGAAAACTTAAAAGTAGTTAACTTACCAACCGCACAAAAGTAATTGAAATTCAAACCCACAAGGACAAGGATCATCAAGTCACAAGTTATTTTCATACCGAATCGAATTTCTAGGGCGTCTGGCTATAATCTTTCTATGAGTGTTGTCGCAAGCTGTTTGCATAAACGAGCATAAGTCGTAATAGTTTATAACTACAACCTCAACTGAGAATGAAAAAAAATATATGTGCGTGGTTTATCAAGCGTTAGGTCATGATAAAGATTGCTAGATATTAGATACGTCATTTCTGTTTTCTGTCCATATCAAAAGAAAAAAATGAGGAGGACAATATCTTGCAATAATGGCTGAACAGACTTCGTTATTATGCTCACCTCTTTGGCTCTCTTAAAAATTTACAGCATCTGTGTTCTGTGACTCTCTACTGCATTTCTAGCTTCTGGTAAACTTTTTCCTTGGAAAAAAAAAAAAGGAAGAAAAAAAACTTCCTCAGATGGTATACAAGGCAGCATCAAGTCTTTTCTGTGCAGAATTGAACGAACGAAAACGGGCAATACCTAGAGGGCATGACATGACCTGACATACCGATACAGACCGTTCGCGTCGCCAATCAGAAGACAGTATACCCATCATTTTCCATACTCAGCGGCGAGCCAAATAACTTGATAGGGAAGCCATATTGAGGGAGGCGTTTTCATGGCGCCATTTTCAACTTCAAAACGAGAGCAATTCAATGGCAGGGATTGATCGTTGATGATGAACCAGATACAATAATTGATAACATCACGAAAATATTTTTGGCTCGGATTGAGTCGAACGTTTCGTTGTTGTAGAGAGGAATTACTTGTAAGACTAGTCTTTTCTCGGCCTTCAGAGAGCAAAAATGTAGAGACTGTAGCACAGAGCGATAAAGTAAAAGGTTACCAGGTGTTCTTCATGCTTCGTGTTGTTAGCTTTGGTTTTGTACGTACAGTAATATTTTTCTGATTATCATGATAACTACAAGAGCGTTCTATAATCATGATCATCGTGATCATTTCTTACATATTCCATTCTGCTCGATTTAAAAATCTTTTAAATAGGAATAGGTCTTCGTACTCTTTTGATCGAAATAAAATGACGATGTACGGTTACGCAAATGCTTCGAGGTTGGAAATTTCAATTAGATATGGGTTATATAGACAGTTTCAGAAATTTCTTCCCTAATATTTATGGTAAAAATCTAACCTGCGATATTCGACAAAGAAAGCAATGCCATGAACGTCACAACGATAGGAAAAGTCATCTTGAAAGACTTAACGTGATGAAATCTTTCACGAAGAAATAAATTGACGTTTTCAGCTGTGTTCGCCGATATTTATATTTTGCATAATTTCCTTGCCCTTAGCAAACGGACTGGAATTTACTTTCCTTCTAGATGAACGAACAGCTTATACAGCATGTGTACGTGCGATAAGTCAGTATCAACGGAACTAAAAATATCACGTATGAACAAAAGGTCAGTGTATAATTGTGTTAACTGGAGGAGTTCTCTAGTTTCACTTCTTTCAGTTTGTCATATACATATATCATAAATAAGAAATGTTTCTATTATGCTGTTGGAGCATTTTTCCTTGTCTTCAAACAAAAAATCACGAGTTAATAAATGTGTGAAAACAATAGGTCAAAATATTTAATTCCCTGGGACTATAGGGTACTCCTAGGAAAACCCCCATTTCCTGCATTTTTGCATAATTAATTACCTAACTTTGTATTGCTGCTATGACAAACTGAAAATCCATCTGCAAATTCATTTAACTGGGTTGTATTCTATATCTGTCAGCCTTCAAGGAAATTGAATTGTTTTAACTTTCTCATTTCATTTCTTCCCTCACCTCTCGCTGTAAAGACGACTTTTTCTGGTTTTGACAAAGTCCAAAAATAAGGGCATTTTAAGGCCCAGCACCTTCGATAACCAACCACTTCTGATCTTTATTTCTATCTGGGCAGTGAAAGCCATCACTGGGCTTCCAAAATCAGTAATAAAATTTTTTGGCAGTTCATTTCATAACCCGTGCTGATGTGAAATTTACATCTACCTCCCGATTTTTGGTCTATATCATCAAAACTCCGTACACCACATCTTCGTTTTATTAACTTAAAATAACTTGAAATTTACAAGAAATTTCCTAGAGAGTATCGTTTAAACATTAACGTGGAGAGAATCTTTGAATAGCTCAAGTTTAGCCCTTTTTGAGAACTTTTTTGATTAACGATTAACTCAAACCAAAAATGTAATTATTCTTCAAACAGACTGAAAGGCATACACCTCACCTTGCTTTAGATCTTATTGGTTCTGTTATCGTTACAATGACATGCCTGAACTAACATAACATGAAGCTTGTAAATATATTGATAATCACCAGAACACTATTACCTTGTCAAGCGATCCTTCCTTTATTGTGCGAATAAACACGAGGATTATTCACAATGAAAGGAAGGCTGAGGTCACAATCTTACAAATTTGACAACCACTGTACGAATTGCACTCGTATATTGAGGATGATAGCATTGAAATCTCTGTGGCTAAAAGTGGCATAGCATTCAATTTCAACATTCAATTTCTGATTTAAGTAGCTTTAAGGTGGTTCTTAAGACAACACACTCTACGGAAAAAAGGTTAGTATTTTTCCTAGAAAACATCTGTGACACTCTTTTGTTTTGTCAGTAAAATTCCTTCACGACTCTACGAGAAACATATCGAGCTAAATAAGTAAATTGAGGGGGTTGCAATACTATAGGACTTTAGCATTAATTAATAAAAGTGCGCCGCCACCTTATAAATTGCATCTTCATGACTGATAGGACTAAAAAGACCGTTTAGCGCTTCTAAGCATTGAAAGATAATTATGTTACGATTTATCCACAGACACTTTTCAAATATCTAAATTTACATACGGCAAAAGCCTCTCTTCTTTTCCTCGCAAACAAAAGAGCTGTTGGGGGGGAGGAGACCCGGACGAATTGTTTTTCTCAGAGGGTCTCAAAATAACCTTTTAAGAAAGCCAAACATCAAATACTTAAAGCGCATGCATAGCAAAGTGCATTTGAGGTTAAGTTAACGACGGTGTATTTAATGGTTTGAAAAAAAAAACACTCAAAAATGAAATCAACAGTTCTTGGAAATGGTACAGCACAACCCTTGATTAGGCACAGTACAGCTCACTGACTAGTCACAGGACAGGGCATGATTGCTACAATATGATGCCTTTTCTCGCCTCAGTAAAGGGTTCGATTTGGAATAGTTAAGCGGGCCGGGTTAATCAGGTACAATATAACGCTCTGATCTCTTATTGAGTAAAGAAGGTCGTTCTGATAAGACAAATAACGGCCCAGAAGTTTGACTGGGTAAAATGCAGTGATCACCAGCAGTGCAGCGCTGTCAAGGTGAAGAACGATCCAAAATTCCTTTTTGGGAAATATGTTTTATTTTCTTTGAAATAAAAAAAAAACGTCTCTTTGTATAGTTATATTTTTTTACAACCAAAACAAAACTGCATTAATTCGAAGAACTAGTGGGAACATTTTGCGGAGTACAGCAAAGTAAATATAGAAACTAAGGGGACCAGCCAATGAATCATGGAGGTGGGGTAAGGTTAGGAGAAAGTAAAAACTGCAACGTCAACCCTGGAAAGAGGAATTGCAACTATATTTATTAACAGAAGTTTCCAACTTGCGCCTTTCTAACTTTTACTTTCTATGCAGCTTTATTACTCTCCCTCTGCGTTCTTATTCTTCTCCAAGTTAATTGGTTTCGTCTCGGTCACGAGCACACTAACACGTGTGATAGCGTACTATCATTAACAAGCGATCGTTTTTCAATGGTTTGTACGTTACAAGAAGGGAATACGGGTATAGTTAACACGGGGAACTCTGAAAACCACATCCTGAAGCTTGAGTCTTACAGATGCTTTAATGCTGAAGGCAAAGAGTCTACGGATCCTTTTCTTCACATTCTTGCTCTTGCTTCTCAAATCACAACCCTTGTCTCCCTTAAAATCAACTTCAATTCCCATTGTACACTTCCCATTATTGTCGAAATCCCTGCCTTTCACTTCTTTTGTTACCCAACGGGACATTTCCTTTCCGAAAGCACTTTAAGGGAGAGGGAAACATTTTGCAAGTTAGATTACACTTTTCGATTAACCCTCGCAAAAACCAATAATGCGCCCTAACTGTGTTTACCGAACCTAATGTGACTGAACAATAAACCATGTTTTTCAGAAAATTGCGCCGATCATTTCGAATCTCCAACGCCCACCAGCAACCCAAGGACGTATAACTGCCTTCCAAGCTCCGGGGAGGGAGGAATTTGAACCTTTCTTAAGTAGGTTTGGAAATTTAAACCAGCGGAATACGGAGTTTTAGTTTCAAATAAGGTGGAGTTTAAAGACAAAGCGTCCGCCTTCGTAACCAAATGGCTCAAAAGAATGTTTTTATATCTTAGACTATAATTCTAACGAGCAAAACATTAGACAGCGGCACGAAAAACAAGTTTTGCTAGATTCTTCAAAATTTGTTGATCACGCAAAAAAAACGTTCAACAAAACATTGTGCTTGGGTAGGGCATCTCCAGGGGGGGACGGGAATTTGAACTAACCAATTTCCCAAGGGAATGCCCAGGGGTAAACTCGATGAATTATTTCACTACAAACTCGATCTCGCTTATAAAGATCAGTACCTGGCAAAGAAGTGTTCAATTGCGCTCCCATTTTTTCAATGGCACCCGCAGAGCAATTCACCACTTCTTCATAATTATACGCCGTCTGAAAAATAAAACAAAGCATGTTTGAATGTATTGTTCAAGCCCTATAGGATTCTAATGATCCCCTTCCATTGACAGTCAATTTTTCAACGTCTGCCTTCATACTCTGTCAGAGACAACTAATCTCCCCTCCGTTCCACTTGAAAACCAATTAACCCCCCCAATCCTTTCTTCCCCCCCCCCTCNGCATAAATAGCGCTATCTACTGCGAGGATCGTGCATCATACGTATCTAATACCGCAGTTCAAAATATATGAACTTCATATATTCATTGTATCTCATTTATCACTTTCACGGGTTTATTACGAATCAACTTAACGGCCTGCTCCCAGTTGGCTTGTTAGCTCAATTGGTAGAGCGCTGCACTAGTATCGCAGAGGTCAGTGGTTCGAGTCCCGTACAGGCCTGATT